GAATTTTTGGATCGAGGCCGGTCAATAAGGTATTGAGCGCCATTGATTCAATTAATACAATTTGGGCTTGTTTTTCTACAGCAGAGAGGCTAGATTTCTGTATATTAGCGTGCATTTTTGCATTAAGGACTTGGACACGATTAAGGAATGTAAGAGCCGATTCATTTGGAAGTTGTTTGACTCTTTGTAAATCTTGTATCAAAGAAGATAAGTCTCTAGTGTCTCCAAAATGAGAGGTAAGAAGCTGTTTAATTTCTAGATACGATAATGGATTTCTTGAACTTATAAGTTGCGCTGCTCTTCCGCGTAATTTATTTTTAATGTGAATTACTAATAGTTGTTTTTGATCGCGCGTAGACCTATTGTAGGCATAATCACAAGCATTTAAAAATGTGTGTAAAAATATTTGATCGCCTTCAAATTCGGGTACGATAGAAAATATTTCAGATAATTTATAAGGTTCTATTTCAGGCTGGTTCTCATTACGAGAAGCGGGACGAGAAATGTTGCCGTTATCATTCATGGTGGTTAATAAAACAATAAACGAAATAGAAGTAAAAATATAAGATAATGGATTAATTAAAAATAATGAATCAAATATAAATATCAAATAATAAAACAAAATGTAAATATCAAAATAATAAATCGAAAATGTAAATATTAAAATAATAAGTCAAAATATAGGAAAAGTATTTTTCGAAGACAGTGTCTGATTAGCAGAATAATCGACACAGGTAATCGTTTAATAAAATGAAAATAAAAAGTTGACGATTTACAGAATAATCGCCAAAAGTTTATAATTATTAAAGTAATTATCAAAAAGTATTCAAATTCGTCATAAAATTATTAATTAAATAAATATTTTATATTGGAATATCGAACAGTATATGGTAATAACTGGTATTAAACAAAAATTATATACGAGATGATTCAGTATTAGACTTACATTAGTTCCAAAAACATCTAGTCGTCTTGTTCTCGACAGCTAATCTACCAGGGGCTTCACTTGGTGTTCCTTCAGTAGATGTCTGCAAAGTTAGGACGGCACTGCTTTTTGGAGTTTTCTGGTTCTTTTTCTGATTAAAGGATTGGAATCCACCGTTGTCAGTTAGGTTCTCCTTGTTCTGCCAACGTTTCCAGATCCTTCTGCGACTGCGCCACTTTTTATATCACGGAACACTTTTTTGACTTTTTAAAAAATTCATTTATTACAAAATACAAGTTACGTGGTAAAAATGAATGAAATATAAAATATAATGAATGAACTACAAAAATATACTGAATACTGAATTAAGAGCGACAAGCGGTTTTATAATATTACTAAATGCTGACTCAGTGGGAACGTGTAAAAAGCTTGGGTCCCGCTGACTCTGCTGGTACTGCATTTGCAAGGATCCTTATCGGCTCAGGTTGTTGGAAGTGGAACCTGATACCCTGGGAATCGTCGTGATAAGGAACATCGGTTGGCACAATGCATATAACATATATATATATATATATATATATATATATATATATATATATATATATATATATATATATATATATATATATAAATAAGGATCACTCAGATGAGTGATCGAGTGAGACGGTCGTACTCCTTTTTGCGATGATATATATTATATATATATATATATATATATATATTATATATATATAATATATATATATATAAGAAAAAAAGAAGTACTTGTGACTCGTTTGGAAAAAATATAAAACTGTTTTGGATGGGTTGGAGTCAATAAAAGGGGCTATTTGTTGACTATTTTTTACTCGAGCTTTCAATTGTGATTACAATTATTATCAAGAGCTTCTAAAAAATACAAAATATCTTACAAAGTTGAACTAGAAATAAAAAAATTTTATGTTAGCAGCAGTTTTATATAACAAACTAATTTTATTTGGTAAGTTAACAAAAAATTTTTTATTTCTAGTTCAACTTTGTAAGATATTTTGTATTTTTTAGAAGCTCTTGATAATAATTGTAATCACAATTGAAAGCTCGAGTAAAAAATAGTCAACAAATAGCCCCTTTTATTGACTCCAACCCATCCAAAACAGTTATATATATACAGTATATATATATATATATATATATATAATATATATATATATATATATATATATATATATAAAGCTACTACTATCTACTAGTTATTGCGTTCCTAGTGGGACTCCAGATAATCGAGTCATACTACGGATCTCACCAGTGATCATTATAACATCTTAATGGTGTCCTCATACTGATCTTAGGCGATCGAATAATTTTAAAAATAAAATCGTAGGCTTCCACGGCCAGAGTCAGAATTATAGTTTATTCGTCTTCCGGGTTTGGACCGTGTCATTTGTGAGTGACCCAAAAGTGGGTTCATCTCGACGTTTCGCTACAATTGTATGTAGCTTCTTCAGGAGAACAAAGCAAAAAAGAAAAAAGAAAAGAAATCAAAGGACAGGAAGATGGGTAGTTAGCAACGGTAACTCAGTTACTCAACGCAACCAGAGGCGAATACTAACTACCAAGATGGGCATTTGGTCACAGTAACTCAACTACTCAACGCAGCCAGAGGTGAAAACCAAATGCCAGGACAGGGATTCACGTCCAACAGCTCAGAACACTAACGCGTCGAGAGGCGGGGAGTGAATCCTGGCTCACTCCCCGTGAAGGATTCACTCCCCGCCTCTCGACGCGTTAGTGTTCTGAGCTGTTGGACGTGAATCCCTGTCCTGGCATTTGGTTTTCACCTCTGGCTGCGTTGAGTAGTTGAGTTACTGTGACCAAATACCCATCTTGGTAGTTAGTATTCGCCTCTGGTTGCGTTGAGTAACTGAGTTACCGTTGCTAACTACCCATCTTCCTGTCCTTTGATTTCTTTTCTTTTTTCTTTTTTGCTTTGTTCTCCTGAAGAAGCTACATACAATTGTAGCGAAACGTCGAGATGAACCCACTTTTGGGTCACTCACAAATGACACGGTCCAAACCCGGAAGACGAATAAACTATAATTTTAAAAATGTTTATTCATTTTAGTAGGAAAACAAAGGGACAAAAGTTTATGAGTAATACGATTTCTCTTCATAGGACCTTTACCTTGAACACCTTCCTTGTATATGAATAACCAATAAGTTTATTTGCAGTGTTATGGAGTACAGTGTCTGCAGATGGTTTTTAACAATAATTTCATTTAAATTATTATTCAGAACAAGTATTTGAAAAACCGTGGTACTCCATAACTGGTATAATAAATTAGATATTCAAGGTCCAGCGCAAAATTGGATGCTTAAGTAACTTCGTGTTTATGTTACAAAATATTTCAAATGCGTATTGTTCTCATTTTATTGATATTAAAATAAAATTAATATTAATTATATGAATAATTTTAGAATAATTTTAGATAAAAGTGTTAAGTCCTTTTCATGTATTTTTATTTATTACATACTATTCATTTAACCGCTCAATTCCTTCTAAATAAACCACATTTAATTAATTAATTAACCACAACTCACAAACCGAAATGTCAAATATAAAATGGTATTAATTATAATCTTGTTTATACGATCAAAGCTAATGCAGTCATATATAGCTGAGTGGATTAACGAGTACCTACACTTAGGAGTGTGTGGATTACCACTTTGAAGGATGGAGCCTGTAGTCCATTCAAAAAGGACCCCGGCACTTTTCGTATGTAAAAGTGATTTCAGTTAAATTGGCTGAAACTATACAGAGAGGTAGGTTCGATCATGCTTATCAAAAGTTATCATGGCGCTAAGACTCAGTAATCAATTGTATCTGAAGTTAATTTTGAAAAATGGACTAAAACCCGATGTTTTGAAGATCTATAACTCAGAAACAAATGATTTCTGAGTCTTGGGACAATAAATACTTTTGATCAGCATTACCAAAACTACCTATTTACAAAGTTTCAGTCAATTTAAGCTTTTACATAAGTTAATAAAAAAATAGGAATATTTACATGAATACGACAACCAATGAAGCTAAGAGTTGCAACTTGTGTCACGTTTCCGGGAAATAGTTTTAAACATTATTTTGAGCTGTGTGCTTTTTAAAAAAGTATATTAATGGTACTTTCTGTTATTGTTTTGGTTTGATGTAATTGTATTAGATGGGTCTTGAAAATGTATTAAGGGAATACAAAGTACGCGTTAAGATGTTTGATTAAAAAAAAAAACGGGACGTCATATGAAAAAAAGAAGAAAGATTTTTAATTTGAAAAGTCTCAATAGCGTACAATTTTTTCTTTAAAAAAATTGAGACAATTATCCGTTTGCGCGCCATTGAATAATATAAAAATCCTAAATGTACGCCAAAAAATGCGCAATTAGCAACTTATTGGTTAAAACTCAGCAAATTTCATTTGCATATCTCAACCAGTTTTAGGGCAATAAATAAATCGTTAGTTTATAAGAAAAATTTTATCACCGCGTATTTCGGAAAAGGAAGTATTTGCGGGCATTCGTTTATATGGTAAACTGTCATTATTTTTTATGGAGATTTGCTCACTGAAGTTAGTTGTACGTATTTATTAAAACTTTGTAAATTTTACAAATATGTATTATTATATTAATTACTATTTAACTGGGAATAAGCCCCAATTAAAGGTAAAAATACGTTTATTGACGTTTCAATTTCCACTTCGGAAATCGTTCTCGAAATACAAACAGTAAATTAAACAAATTTTGTTTTTTGTACTTAGGGCCGGTTTCACCAACAACAAATAAATCACTGAATAGTTAATCGTCGAATAAAATTTATTAGTAGAATAACTTTTATTCCGTTTCAATAACTATTTGTAATCCACAGTTAGTTATTCGTCGAATAAGTTCAAAGTGTAATGATTTTCCACAGACTGTACTCGTTGACACCTCTCTTGGCCTTCACCTCTTAGGTGTTTGGCTAGGCACATCGCACAATTTTTCACTGTAATCATATACATAACCTATAATATTTATTTAATATTGTTTGTTGTTGTGGTTGTGAATTTGAAAATTGTAAACATGGAAAAAAAAACGCGAGAGGAGTAAAAATTATTTAGAGGAAGAAAAGGAGAACTTAATCTCAATAATCGAAAAATATAAGCATATTATAGAGAATAAGAAAACGGACAGTGTTTGGTCTAAACAAAAGAATGCCACATGGGAAAAAATAGCGACCGAGTACAACAGTATTAGCAAAACTGGGATTCGGAATGGGATACAGTTGAAACTGTTGTACGAGGCACTCAAAAAAAGAGTTAAAAAACTCAAAGCTGATGATAAGGTGGGTAGCATAAAATTATAGATATGTTTAAAATGAATTTTTAACAATATTTTTTATAATGAAGTTTTTAAACCTTGCAATGTTTACAGGTTCAGACATACATAACAGGAGGTGGTATGAAGGTACCAGTGATGACACCTCAAGATGACAGGATTGTTGCTATCATGGGACCCCAAATAATCCCTATAGATACTATGTATGATAGCAATAATGTGCATATGCCTGGGGAGGATGTTTATCAAGGTAAAGTGTAATATTATTTGAGATTAACATAAAATAGTCAAGGTTGCATATCATCTAACTACTTAAACACTATACATGCCACAATTATGTTCACATTGTGTCTGCAATTGGACAGGATTATGCAGAAACGATCAAACCCACACTTTGTTAAAACAGATATTAGCCAAAAACTTTACGATAAAATTTTCTATTTAAAATAATCATGATTTAATATTAGAATCGTTAATATATTATGCATTACATTTGTTTTAACACATACTGTTTGATTCAAGAAAACATGTATTAGGTATTTTGCATAATGGAACCAACTCACATGGATCTGTTCTGCCGAACGCTGACATTCTGCAACGATAATGTTGGCTGGTTTTTCACTCATAGAGGACGGTATATATCTTATGTGGCTTGGTTCTTTTTTGCACAAGCATCTACGAGGTATTTTACGACCTATGAGACTGTTAATAGAAAAAATACATATTTTTGGCTCAATTCCTTTCTGCAGAATCCCGTTCAAGTACAAACAGTTTTTAATAACATAATTGCATTGATCCTTATTTTGCTTGTAGGTGATATAAGTCAATATGAAGGTGATGCTGCTATGGATGACATACCACTTCTATCACCTCCTGCTATGGATATCCCCAGTACGTCCAGCAGTATTCTGCCAAGAATCGTAATAGAAGGTAATAATATAATTTTAAATACTATAATGATTACTTAACGATTACTTACAAACATAAATATTGCTTGCAACAATCTTGGCATAAATATCAGTATCAAAAAAACCAAGTATATGGTCTTCAGTAAAAACATGACAACCAGTACATATTAGTATAAACATCATTCAAATTGAAAAAGTATCAAGTTACAAATACTTGGGAACTTTAATAAACAAAATTTTCAAACCATTTATATATTAATATTTCAAATATATAAATGGTTGTATTTGTGAATGCATTTTAAAAAAATATTTTTTATGCAATATAAGTATCCATATGTTTTTACAAATGATAAAAATTCGTGTTTTTTTACAGATGCAAAAGATTCATCACATCAAGGTGAATCAATAACATTTAAAACACCAAAAAGCAAGAGGAAATGTATTGAATGTGAGGAAATGGGGGACAAGAAGAAGGAAGTGTTGAAAAGAAAATTAGAAATATTAGATATTGTAAGGCGTAAGGAATTAGTAGAATTAGAAATAAGACAAGTAGAATTGGCAATGAAAAAAGCAGAAGCAGAATCAAAAAAAATAGACATAAGACAAATCAATAAATAATACTTTATACCTTAAAAATGTGTTTTATTTAGAATATAATATTCTTTATACAAGCTAAACCCTATACATATGTATTGGTATAAATTGTATTAAATGAAATACCACACAATTATTTATAACAAATTTACAAAAATCAAAAACATATACATATTATAAATATCGTCAACACATTAACAGAACACCTAACATTTATTTATTTATTAACGGGAGGATCCTTTTTGCATTTAAATTTTAAATATAAATATAAACATCCTAAACTAACTAAAAAATACCACACAATTATTTACAAATTTACAAAAATCTGAAACTTAAAAACATACATTATAAATATCGTCAACACATTAACTGAACACCTAACATTTATTTATTTATTAAAGGGAGGACCCCTTTTTGCAGTTAAATTTTAAATATAAATATATATATATATATATATATATATATATATATATATATATATATAATATTCTATAAAATAAGTCTAAAACACTGTATTAATTAAAGCTGTTCTTACAGCATTATGGTTATTGGGCAATTCTTGAAGTGGAAGTTCTGGTTGTTCCAATGCAATTGGTATTTCTTCATTTGGTACTTCATCACCTATTCCAATTGCCATATTATGTAAAACAGTAGTTGCAACTATTACAGCTAACGTTGTTTGCTGCTTGATGCGCATACCCACTGAAAGACATGGAAAACGTCTCTTCCAAACTCCAAATGCTCTCTCTACAACATTCCTAGTTCGTATGTGAGCCCTGTTGTATCCATGTTCTGAACGTGTTTGTGGATTCAGCAGTGGCGTTAATAAATACTTCTTACAAGCATATCCACTATCACCTAATAAGTAGCAGTCAGGAAATTCATTGTTTTCAAGTCTGGCCCGTATGAGGGAATCGTTAAAAATTGTTGAGTCATGTACGCTTCCAGGCCACCGAGCAACTATATCTATAAATTTCAATTGGGCATTGCATGTTGCTTGGACATTTATCGAAAACCATCCTTTCCTGTTTCTGAACAACTCACCATGCTCTCCTCCAGGAGCTTGTATTTTTATGTGGGTGCAATCTATCGCTCCAAGGACCCTCGGAAATCTTGAAATTTGGTAAAAATCATTTTGCACCTTATTTAATTCATTACGGTTCTGTGGCAATTGTACAAACTGAGGACGTAATAGAGCAATATAATGGGATACTTTTCTTACAATGCGACAGACTGTTGCTTTTGAAACATTAAAGTGATCGCCAGTACATATTTGAAACGATCCTGTTGCATAAAAACGAAGAGCAATTAACAATTGATTTCGCACATCTATGGGTCTATTTTTGTTGCTTAGAGGATGCAGTTGGTTACCAATCAAATTTAATAATTGATCTACTGAATTTTTTGATAATCTAAACCTAGTTTTAAAGTCCACATCATCAAATTCAGCAAAAGGGTTTCTTCTTTGCAGCTGCAAGCGTGGTCTTCTCCTTCGCTGCTCATTTTCGTCATCAGAGGATGATGATGATGAAGATAATAATCTAAAATAAATATATATGTATACAAAATTCAAATTGTCTGATATAATTACGTTTACCTGCAATACATTGTTGATAATTTCAAGTTAAACTAATGAATTTTCTTTATTATTGATATTTAAAGTGAGGTTAGCTGTCAACTTATTCGAAGAATAAATATTTATTTGGCCGATATTGGACTAATAACTTATTTGGAGTTTATTCATAGAATAAGTCTTATTTGACGTTGGTGAAACGCAGATATGTCAGTTTTATTGGTCGAATAACTTTATTCATTGAATAGACTGCTATTTGTCGTTGGTGAAACCGGCCCTTAGTGAAAAAAATCTTCTAATAATTTTATCTGACTCATTTATATTGACAATTCAGACATACATTATGCATTTTAAAGTATAACTCGACAAGCCAGAGCTGGCGGGTCAGGTGCGCGCAAATAGAAAAGGAATTATTCTAAGAGAGATAGGAGAGGTACTTAATCGCTGGTGTCACGAACGCGTAGTTGCCGTATCAAAAATTTAGTTTGGATCTAAAAATTACGTTAGTAGATACACGTTTTATACTTACCATATTATTATGTTAGACAATTAATGCAAAAGGTTTGACCAATTTTTGAATTAAATTTATAATTAAAATAAATGTTAACTATAACTCGATTATAAAAATTTTGAATTTGAATCAAACATTGATTTCTTTTATTTAAAACTAAAAAAATAATCATTTACGTATTGAAGTATTTATATATATATATATATATATATATATATATATATATATATATATATACAGGGTGAGTTACCACTAAAGGGACGAAAGATCACAGCGAAACGGTAAAAGATTTTGAAAAAATTTTAAATTTATTGTTTGAAGGTTGATAAGGGCTACATTTTAAAATTATTTTGAAATATACAGGGCGTACCAATAAAGTGCGGCGTATCAAAGTTATATTGTTTAAGTAATTATAACAAATTTTCCCTTACAGCGAAATAAACACCATTCAAAATAACGCTCTCAGAATAATAAGCATTGCATTTAGAACAACGCCTATCTTCAGGCCGAACTCGGTAAACTACCATTAGATTTAAGAAGACAGGAATTTATGCTCTCGTATGCATCAAAGCGGTACTCTTTACAATTTCAGCAAACCATTCGCTGCTCGAATATACAGCACGCAAAAACTCACATTCCCTTTTACGAAAGATGCAGACGAATTATAAATGAGTTAAACCGTAAAGTCCCCAAAATCTATCCTAGCAAGATGCCAACTTCCCCTCCTTGGCTAATATCTTCTCCTCACATAAATTTGGATCTGTTATCAGAAAATAAGAAGGAAAGCAATCGTCATCTAATTAATTCTAAATATCAGACCTAAATCTAAATTTTCTAGCGGAGACTAATACTATTTTAACAGGAGAACTTTTTGCAATATATAAAGGCATATGTCATGATACAAAATGTCCTGACATTAACTTCTTAATAATTGCTGACTTACTAAATTCTCTAGCAATCATCTCAAAAATCTATTCTTCCCATCCTGTGGCCAAACTCATTAGACAAGAATTGCACAACCTCAATCACAGAAACATCGCTTTCCTGTGGGTGCCATCTCATATTGGAATCACGGGAAACGAGCTGGCGGATAAATATGCACAAGAAGCCTTAGAGGACACAACTATTGAGTTCTATCCAAAAACTCCAGCGACAGACCTCAAATCATATTTCCACAGCAAAATAGTCAACATATGGAATAGCAGATGTCATAAAAAAGAGGCAAAATTACTTGAGAATAAACCAATATTTCAACCATGGTCTGATAATTCCACCAATCGTTTTACTCAGTTGTCATCACACGACTTCGGCTTGGTTATAGTCGCCTTACACATGGACATCTGATGACAAGGGATCCCCAACCGCAGTGCTGTGCTTGCGAGACCTCTCTAATAGTAAAACACCTTCGAGTGGAGTGCCCGTTACACAGTGCAGACAGATGTAAATTCGGAATCCCGGTGAATTTGAGAGAACTATCAGAGTTGAAGGTGAACACACTGACTATGTGAAAATCATGCTTGGAGTAAGGCAAGGCTGTATTTTGTCTCCTCTAATCTGTACTCTGAAAAAATATTTATCGAAGCTTTGCACGAAACTGAAAAAGGTATTTTAATAAATGTTTACCGGCTTAACAACATCAGATAGGCAGATGACACCATAGTATTTGCGGACAACTTAGAAGACCTAGAAGTTCTTATGAACAAAATCACTTATTACAGTCAACAATATGAACTCAATATAAACGTTAAAAAGACAAAGCTTATGATAATTAGCAAGAAAAGGATAACAGAAGGTCAACTCTACGTTAACAAATCTCCTGTAGAAAGAGTGACGCACTACAACTACCTCGCCACCATAATAAATGAAGAAGGGATCAACAACCAGGAGATTAGAGCATGCATCGCAAAAGCTAGATCCACCTTCAATCGGACGGAGGTCTTCTTCAAGAGTCACAACCTCTCTCTTTATACAAAAGTAAGAATGCTGCGCTGCTACGTCTTCTCTGACCTTTTATATGGCATTGAATCGTGGATCTCGAACGAAGATATGTGTAAAAAACTGGAAGCATTTGAGACGTGGCTATATCGGAGAATACTTAAGATTCCGTAGACTGACCGGGTCACAAATGAGGAGGTCCTTAGAAGAATAAATAAGAAGCGAGAGATACTGACCACCATTAAATCTCGAAAGTTACAATTCTTCGGACATATTATGCGAAATGAATCCATATATGCTCTCCTTCAAGCCATCCTGCAAGGAAAAATATTGGAAAACGAGGTCCAGGAAGGAGAATAACATCTTGGTTAAAGAACCTCAGAATCTGGTTCAATACAACATCTGTGCAGCTTTTCCGCGCTGATGCAGATAAGATAAAGCTTGCCATGATGATCGCCAACATTCGTATTAGATAGGCACATCAACAAGAAGAACACATATATATATATATATATATATATATATATATATATATATATATATATATATATATATATATTGTAAAAACTACGACCGTCAATTTATATTAATAAAGTATTCAACTAGTGAAATCCAGAGGTTTAATCGGTCAATCAGGTTGGCAAAATAAAAAACAGAAGTCAACTACTTCATAAGTTTATAGAAGACGTTTCTCTTTATACTTCTAAAGCTTCATCAGTTCTCTAAAATACAAAGATGACATAGAGTTTATAAGAAATACAGATCTAATAATTTATTACTTACAACTCAATATGTAGTATTAAAGATGTTATTGTATATGTACTTAAGTTTACTCATAAATTTAGAACTAACTTAAAAAAAATTTAACAGGAACATGCAAAAAACAGTATTCGCAGAAACGAAGATTTACAAAAACTTTAAACGTACATTTGGCTTCATTTAGAGATGGTTCTCCAATGAAGACAAACAAAACACTGATTTATTGCAATCTATGCTAAACGACGT